GGCTGCTACTACGACTTCAACTGTCCACACAACTACGTTGAGGTCAACTCTATCGACCAGTGCTTTGCTCACTGCAGGATGTCCACCCAGCCCGCACTGGCCCTCACGGTCGTCATCACGATGATGATGAGGATGATGATGATGATTAAAATAATTATAATGACTACGATGATGATGATTAAAATAATTATAATGACTACGATGATGATGATACTGATGATTAAAATAATTATAATGATGACGATGACGATGAACGATGATTAAAATACTAATAACAACACCACCATCAACACCATCAACAACAACAATAATAATAATAAATAATAATAATAAATAATAATAATAATGATGATGATGATGATGATGATGATGATGATGATGATGTAGGATGGCTTCCGGTGTTGCTGCGGCAGCGGCTTCAAAGTTCCGCTGCACTCCTCCTATTGCGACCGGAAGTGTCCGGACGGTTTGGGATTCTGCGGCGGAATGAACTACAAGTACTCCGTCTACAGACGTAAGTGAAGAGGATTGCTATGATGATGATGATGATGCTGATACTGATGTTGATGATGAGGATGGTTGTGGTGGTGATGATGATGATGATGACAATGATGATAAGGATAATGATGATGATGATGATGATGATGATGATGATTATCATTATCATCATCACCATCACCACCATCATCATCGTCATCACTTCTACCATCATCACCATCTTCTTCACCATCATAGCCACCATACCCATCGTCATCAGATCAATACAGGACAGAGTACGATAACATCAGCCTGGGTTGTTTCCAGGATGATGAGGCTCATGACCTTCCGTTCGAGGTCAAGTTCCTACCCGTGGTTACCCCAGAAACTTGCCTCGCTCGGTGCTTCACTAACCGCTTTCTGTTTTCAGCCGTCCAGGTAACGATGATGACGATGGAGGTGGTGATGATGCTGATGATGATTATGTGGTAGTGATGATGATGATGATGTGGTAGTGATGATGATGATGATGATGATGTGGTAGTGATGATGATGATGGTGTAGTAGTGATGATGATGATGATGTAGTAGTGATGATGATGATGATTATGTGGTAGTGATGATGATGATGATAATGATGTGGTAGTGATGATGATGATGATGTGGTAGTGTTGATTGTGATGATGAAAATGATGACGACGACGACAACGATGATGACGACCGTGAGAATGAACAAACGCAGGGCGGAAAAAAATGTTTCTGCGGTCACTCTCACGGAAAGTTTGGGAAACTGGACAATAAAAAGTGCGATGCATCATGTTTCAATAATGACTCAGTGTGTGGTGGTCACCTCGTCAACTATGTGTCTGAAGGTCGGTCTCTAATTGGTTGGCTGGTTGGCTGGCTGTCTGTCTGGCTGGCTGGCTGGCTGTCTGTCTGGCTGGCTGGTTGATTGATTTGCTCATTCTTTCATTTTTTCATTCACCTTTTACAGGCTCATCCACCCAGACATCCATCCACTCATTAGCTCATTCGTTCATCTACTGATTAATTTACTCACTCGTTTACTCGTTCATTCATCCATTCATCAATTCATTCATTCATCTACTCCATAATTAACACATCCATTCATTCACTCACTCAGTCATTCATCCACTCATCAATTCATTCATTCATCTACTAAATAATTCACTCATTCATTCATTCATTCATGTAATCAGCCCTGCCTAAATTAACCTTCTTGATGAACAAACCACACTGCTATGGTGACGTTGTTGGCTCTCAGGATGTTTGCAGCGTAAGCCCATGCAAAACTGGATGGACTGGCCAGCATTGTGATGAGAGAGGTGTGTTTTTGTTCTTCCATTCATCCATTTATTCATTCGTTCGTTCGTTTGTTCGTTTGTTCGTTCATTCATTCATTCATTCATTCATTCATTCATTCATTCATTCATTCATTCATTCATTCATTCATTCATTCATTCATTCATTCATTCATTCATTCGTTCATTCGTTCGTTCGTTCTTTCATTTGTTCATTCATTCGTTCGTTCGTTCTTTCATTTGTTCATTCGTTCATTCATTCGTTCATTCATTTATTTATTTATCCATCCATTCTGTCTGGTCATATTTATTTACTAATTCTTTCTTTTGTTTGGTCGTTCTATAGTTTGTTCTGTCGGTAATTCTTTAATTGTTTCATTCATTCATTCACTCACTTATTTATTCATTCATTCATTCATAATAATTAATAATAATCGTTATTCATAATTAACATAATTAATACATGATAATAACATTAATAATAATTATAATTCATCATTAGCATAATTTATTCATGAAAGATTGCCAGAAGAAATCTGGTGACTGCGCTGGAATGTGCGAGACGACGAGACTCATCCATTTGTCTGCAACTGAGTGCAAATGCCAGCCAGGCTATTATTATAGTAACGATGGCGCCTGTACTAGTAATTAGCATACTTTATTCATAATTTATTCATATCCTTATTTGTCCATCCGCTAGTTTATTCGTTCTTTTATTCGTTCTTTCGTTCATTCCAATATTTGTTTTTTAGATGGTTCTTTCATTTCTTAACTTATCAATGGTCTTATTAACTCATTTTTTTCATTCTCACTCACACACTCACTCACTCACTCACTCACTTACTCATTCACACTCACTCATACACTTTCACTCAGTCACTCACTTGCTCACTCACTCACTCACTCACACACTCACACACTCACTCATTCACTCACTCCTTCACTCACTCATTCATGTAGACATAATAGAGTGCGACTTGCACGACGACCTATGCAAGCCTTTAAACCTGTCGTGCAGGGATACTGCCGGCTCATACGAGTGCTTCGATCAAATTCTACTAGGTTGCGATAATGATGACGATGATGATAATGATGACGATGACAGTGATGATGATGACGGTGATGATGATAATGATGACGATGATGACGGTGATGGTGATGATGATAATGATGATGATGATGACAATGATGGCGATGATGACGAAAATGATCAACAAAGGTTTCATCATCATCATAACCATTAACATCATAGTCACAACCAGTATAACCATCACAACCATCATAATCATCATCACCATCACAACCATCATCATCATTAAAATCACCACAATCATCATCACCATCATAATCATCATCATCACCAGAGTACCGGAAACAGATTAACCGCCTGACGGCCATAATTCTTGGGGCAATCATTCTATTGGAGGCTGCCATCTGTCTTCCAGTCATCATCACGCAGAACAGAAGTATGATAATGATGATGGTGGTCAGGATGATGATGATTATGATGATGATGATGGTGTTGGTCATGATGATGATGATGATGGTGGTCATGATGATGATGATGGTGGTGGTGGTGATGTTGGCCATGATGATGATGATGATGATGAAGATAATGATGTTTTATTTACCATAGTAACTATAACCATAAATATAAATCACTCCATCAGCAATTAGAGTACTGAAAAGAAATGCCTAATCTAACTCCTCTGCCTCTCACTATCATCATCGTCTTCATCATCATCATCATCTTTTTCATCATCAATCATCATCATCGTCTAACTAATTAATTGTTTAATCAATTAATTAATAGATTTATTTATAATTTAATAAGTATCTAAATTTAATAACGTAAACTTTTCATGATTAATGTTTCTGAACGGATGTTAATTGAAGCAGACGAAATAAAATGTTTGTTTGGCATAGTTGGCTAATAAACTTATCTACGTATATTATTATTATATTTTATTATTATATATTATATATTATTATCGAAATACTGGAATTAACAGTTTGCCACGAATCTAACTTCTCTAAATCTAAGGAATATAAAGCATCAAAATACTTTCAAATCTTAATAACAATTTGATAGACGAGTTGAATAGTTCAAATATTATAATAAATTCATTTGAAATTTCCCCGCTAGGTTTTTTTAAATATTTTAAACCATCATTAATTAATTTTATTTGGTCTGACCCTTTTCATAGAAGTTTAATAAATCCCGTAGTATCGTCATCTTACGCAATTTACCGTGATATGAACACGGGTTGAATGAACTTAATTTAATGCTGATTCTATTTCTCTTTGTGCCCATTCAAAATGTATGGCGAGAATTGTAGAATATCTATATAATTTACATTTATTTTATCTATCTATATATATAATTTACATTATAAGTTTTGTTATTTTAACTTTATAATTACAATTAAAAGTATGTTCTCACTAGATGAACCATAAGAGGACGCAATCCAATGCAATTAACATGGAAGGAATAAATTTACAATTTCAATAATAAAGATAATTTTCAATAATAAAATAGCGATAATAATAATGATAATAATAATTATTATTATTAAATATATTATTAATAATTACAATTGTTATTAATAATAAATATAGTATAATTATTATTAATTATAAATATTAGTGCATAATTTTTTTGGGCGAGAATGAACACTGCTGATAGACAAGGGAGTTTTTCGATTGCTGTTTTCTGAGGTGGCATCTTCTGCTATTATTATTGTTATTATTGTTGTTGTTATTATTGTTACTGTTATTATTGTTGTTGATGTTGTTGTTGTTGTTATTATTATTTTTGATGTTGTTGTTGTTGCTTTTATTGTAGTTGATGTTGTTTGGTCTATACAAGTAGGAATTGCCGAAATTGTTGTTGATGTTGTGGTTGTTGTTGTTGATGATGTTGTGGTTGTTGTTGTTGTTGATGTTGTTGTTGATGTTGTTGTTGTTCTGATTTCTTACGTTTCTGTTTTGGGGTTTATTAACTGATGATTTTTTTTATCGTTTACAAAATGTCAGAATAATCTATTTCCTATTTAAATTATATATAGCAATCATATTATTATTATTATTATTATTATTGTTGTTGTTGGATGAAACATTGAAAGGGATTTATTATTACCAAAAAGATCATAAATTTGAACGCTGCAACACAAACCCCCCCCCCCACACACACACAAACTACTCACGTATCTTCAATTGTCTTAGCAACTATTTTCAACTCTGGTAGCCCACAGTCCACAGATTTTTCTTTACCCTCTTGACCTCCACCCTCCATGTTTTTCATCAGCTGTTTGAGGTCAGGGGTGGAAAAATGTTCCTTTATTTCGCATTTTATGTGCCTTTTAAGGGCTTGGTTAATTTCCGTCAAATGGCCGATTTCTTTTTCTAGCGCTGACTTTTCAACTGCTACTTTGTTGAAACGCTTCCAGAAGTTGTCGAGGTTTGTGTAGGAGTGCATCAGCTGTGTGCGTGTGTGCGTACGTGTGCGTGTGTGTAATTGTCAAACATTCTGACTAATGAAAGATGGGCAAAGTTATGAGCAAAGTTATGTTATATCTCAAACAATCATGATACAGACACACACACACACACACGTACACACACACGCACACACACACACAAACACACATCATCTATCTCGTCATCATCAGCACCATCATCTATCTATCAAACCACTCACTTTCGTCAATCTCTCTTCTGCCTCTTCCTTCATGATCTCTTCAATTCTATTCAGGTCAGAATCGTCCAGGGTCGATTGGTAGAAGGGAAGAATTTTCTCACCCTCACTCTCCAACCTCCTGCACCTTTCGGCGGCCTTCAAAAGATGTTCACCCTTTCGTTTGGCAGGGGGGGTGGGTTTTTGTGTGAGGTAAAAGTTCACAGACCGTGATGGCGGGATAATACTAATGATGATGATTACGACAACAACGATGACGACGACGACGATGATGACGATGACACCCACCTACCCACCCACCCATTCAGCCACCTACCTGTTCTATAGTCCTCTTCATCCTCTTCTGGACTTCGCTGACCACTACCACCAACTTGGCCAACCTGTCCTTCTCGATCATCTGTGTCTCGACCAGTGCCTTCTTCAGGCAGTACAGACTACTCGCCAACATTTCCTTTTCCTGTTTAGGTTTTTTTTTCGCGGAAAAAATTTTGACGGTGATGATTATGATGATGGTGGTGCTGGGGACAACGACGGTGGTAAGTATGATGATGATAATGATGATGATGATGATGATGGTGATAAATATGATCATGGTGTTGGTAACGATGATGATGATGATGATGATGATGATGATGATGGTGGGGATGATAATGATGATGATGATGGCAGAACGAGCCTGTTTGAGTTCTTTGTTCTTACTCCTCCATATTCGAATGTTCGTCTGTGACTTGATCTTCTCCTTACTTATCTCCAGCTGTTGTGTTGTCGTTGTTGTTGGCGCCATCGTAAACAATCATCGTCGTCGTCGTCATCATCATCGTCGTTGTCGTCATCATCTTCTTCTTTGTTTATCATCATCATCGTCGTCGTCCGTCGTCGAACTAACACAAACCCAAAAATGCGTTCGAATAAAGAACTAAATCACAAACAAATAAACACAAAAAAACAAGCTCAAAAAATGAAAAAAAGAAACATACAATAACGTAGTAACTAAAAAATAAATCAAAACCAGAGAAACACATATAAACAAACACATACATTAACCGACAAACAAACAAACATACAAACAAACAAACATACATACATACATACAAACAAGCAAATATACATACAAACATGCATACAAAAAAAACAAAACCAGTTCTTAACCTGTAGATTTTCAATTTTTTTGGCCTGCGCTTCCATCTCGCCAGCATTTTTGTCATCCTTTTCCTTCAATTCATCGAAACTTTTCTTCCGGTCCTCAGTAGCGTCATGGTAGTACTTGCAGGCCGCTAGGAACTTATTCCAGAGGCTTTCCAGTAGAAGCTCCTGCCTCAATCTCAACGAGTGGATGTCTTCCAAGTTCTGTTTTGTTTGTTTGTTTGTTTGTTTGTTTGTTTGTCTCTCTCTCTTTTCTTTTCTCTCTTCTCTTTCTCTCTCTCTTTCTCTGTGTGAGTGTGTCTTTGTAAAATTTTGCGGTATTGGTGGCTATGAAGATAACGATGCAGCGTGTCTCATGACCTCAATTTCGATAATAAAAACAATTTTCGTTAAGTTTTGGATGAAATTTCATACTGTGCTGTGCATGTGCACAGTATGCAACTATATAAAGTAACCAATCAACCAACCAACCAGCCTAAACCAGCCAACCAACCAACCAGCCCAAACCAGCCAATCAACCAACAAACTAGCCAATCAGCTGACCAGCCAATCAACGAACCCTATTTTTTAGTTCATCCATGTTGCTTTGAAATTCAGCTTTCTCTTCCTCTTCTTTCTCAAAAAAGTTATCCTCCATTGCAAATATCAACCCTTCTAATCTTATCACCTGGAAAAGTAATTCATTCGTTCGTTCATTCATTCATTCATTCGTTCGTTCGTTCATTCATTCATCATTCAATCATTCATTCATTCATTACTTTTTGCCTATGTTGTTCGGTTAGGAGTGCTTTTTCTGACTCAAACTCTTGTTTCAAGGACTCCACCTGGTCCTTGTAATCCGTGTCCATCTGGTTCATGTGCCTTCTCTGGAAGTCTTTTCCGGTGGTTTCAATGATTATTCATACTTATTATTTTTTATATTACATAATTTATAATAAATGAATTAACATATGTTATTTTATTTTATTTCCTCTTTGAATTTTCGAATAATTAGATGTTTAATCAAATTATCATTTTCTGTTTATGTACATTGCGAAGTTATGAAAAACGCGTAACATACAGATAAGTGTAACACACACACACACACACACACACACCACACACACACACACACACACACACACACACACACACACACAAGCACCCACACACACACGTACACACATACACACGCCACGCACACACATACAAACATACAAAACACCTAACCAAGCAACTTATCCACATTGTGCATATGACTTCGTTTCGCCATTAGAAATTGCTCTTCAGCTTCGGCCAAATCCTTGAGGACAGTCTGCAAAGCACTGCTCTTAATGTCAACCGCCCTTTCAAAAACCTGGCTTAAGATTTCAATTTCCTTTTTCAGTTCTTTACTCTTTGTTCCTCGTAGAATTTCACGCCATTGTTGATTTAACTTGTACCAATTTTCTTGGCTCATTTTTTCCTCTTTTGCCATTTTGTTCTGAGATTTTAGTTGGTGGTTTATTGTTGCAATTTTATTAATGGTTAAAATTATTTTTATGAAGAAATAAATAAATAATTTGTTTCAAATTTATCTAAAATATGTGTCTAAAATAGCGTTGAACTTTAAATAGTACGTATGTTATGATACTCAAATCTACGAACACATGCACTTCTATGTAATGTATAGCAGAGGAATGTATCAATCTATACTATAGATTGATACATTCCTCTACTTACACTTACAAACAAACCAATCATGAATGAAATAATTGCCAAATAATCACACCTTAATCAGTTTAATCTTAATCATTTTAATCCCCAATTTAAAACGGTCACACTACAACGGCAGAACCAGGTGTCTTAACTTTAGAACCACACTTTTAATTAATACTATCACATCAATCATCTTATTTAATTCTGAAACAATTAATTCAATTACTAATCAATTTGATTAATTAATTTGAGAAATATGGATGAAAAAACTGAAACTTTCAAATATTGAGCCAATAATTCCTCTTTATCTCGTCTCATTTCCTCCTCAGCCAACCTCTGCTTCTCCAAGTAAAGAATTTTCTGATCTTCCGTCATCTTTGCCAACCTTCCTAACCTTCTTTTCGACATTTTGTTAATTTATTCTTAATTATTAAATATAAGAAAAAGTAAATTTAATCCAATTTTTGATTATTTTACAATTTAATCTGTACTACATGCATGCATACATAGCATTTGAAGGTTCAATAAACAGTTGATACTGTTTAATAAGGTTGCTAATGGATACAATGGTAATTTATATTAGTATCTTATTCAAAAAACTCTTTAATACTTTAATAAATTACACAAAATTTAATATTATAATTGTATTTTTTATGTAATAAAAACAAGAAAAAGCAAAAATCATTTAAAAAATATTAAAATTGGTTTTCCATTATCTGTATTATTTTATACATTACTGACTAAACTCGTATCTGAACAAAATAATAATAAATAGGCGAAACAATTGGATAAATATACGGACATATAATTTTTGGTTTAATTTAATCTATTTTAATTAGTTTATTTTAAAATATTTAAATAAAAAGATGGGCTTAATTCAAAGTCGCCGCAGTAACGGATCTCCGGAGTCGGATCAGACCAGTAGTAACATCTACAAATATCCACCAAAAACTGGTAACAAAAATAATTTTCTCGATTTAATAAAAATAAACTTTAAAAACTGTTAAAATTATCTAAAATTAATTTGTAAAAAAATGTGCAACTTTTTCTTATTCAAATACAATTTTTCACTAATTTTATCAACTGCTGATCAGGAAACTATTTTGGCAGCCATTTTTACATGGGTGGGGAAAAGTTTGATGCCATGCGTCCAGACGCCTTCCTGTTTGGAGAAAATGAAGATTTGAATTTCCTTGCTAACAAATTATTTTCTGTCAGTTTTATTTTATAATAATTAAATTAACAAAACCACAAGTATTAACTATTGGTTTAGTTGATTTAATTATTATATTAATTCAGTAAATTAAATAAAAAAATAAAGGACAAAAATAACATAACTTTTCAGGCAAAATCTTACTCTTCTATATTATTTTCCTTTTTTGTTTCTTTCATGCTCCCCTCTTTGATTGTCTGTGTAGTGTAGTTGTAATTCTTTAATTTTAGATTGAATAATGAGGTCTGCTTGAATGTAGTGTAGTTAAAATGTAATTAATGTTTATTCATTCTATAAAGTATAAGAAGCTATCTATTCAAAGAATGGACTGCCTTTCAAAAATTATTCATTTTATTATAAAAGTAATTATTATTTAATTATTATTGATTTTATTGTCTTTCACTAACTTGGCAGTACTCATTCACAGCTCCACAAACGAACGAACCGATAAAAACGTTGAAAAGCCTAATCAACATTAGGAAAGATTCTCTCAAGTTTGTCAGGCAATAAAAAAAATTTTTTTTTCAAAATTAAATTACTTTTATAAAAGAAATACCTTTTAAAATTGTTTTTTGTATAATATTTTTAAAATTATTTTTATAAAATATTTTTCAAAAATACTCATAACTTGGTGCTGGTATTTTAGTATACTAAAGTCTACTGTTCGCTCATTACTACTTGAAAATATCCTTAAATTACATTATAAAGTCACTTTTATAAAATGCTTTTATAAAGTTATTTTAGTTCATATATTTACAAGAACTTTTAAGATTACTGTTTAAAAGTATTTTAAAAATTATTTTACATAAGTACTTTTCTGAAAACTCTTCTAAAATACCTCTAGTCTTGTTATATGCAATTACTTTTACGATGATTTTATAAAACTACTATATGAGGTCATTGAAATCATCATTGTAATCATGAATTTGATTACATTTTTTCATTTACAGAGTTATAGATGAATCACTGATTGGCAGCTGTGCCGTCGCAAACAACATCGCAACATCACAACCTGCTGCTCCCCTGACACTGACAACAATGACAACATCATCGTCATCACCGCCGTCAACAAAAACAACAACATCATCATCATCACCGACAAAAACAACAACGTCGTCGTCTTCAGCAGTGGCTCCAGTGGTGCTAGTATCTTCAATGGCAAGCAACTACAACAACCAAACATCGACTTTCATTAGCATAGCTGCACCTGACATCATCACGTCTTCATCGACAGTTACGTCACCGCAACTACAACAACAACAAACGACAACACAAACCTTGTATAATATTGAATTCACTTTTGACTCTGACGTCAAGTGCGCCATTACCATCTACTACTTCGCCACTGAGGACTTTGTAGACAAGCAAGTTGTGTTAGTCTCAAACTGGAAAAATTTATTCATTTTATAAATTGGTACATTTGAATTTTAACAGGAATTGAACTATAATATATTTACCATTTAGTATATTTAACTTGCTTAGTTTTTTTTAGGAATTGAACTATAGTATATTTAACCTATAGTATATTTAACCTGTTTAGTTTATTCAGGAATTGAACTATAGTATATTTAACCTATAGTATATTTAACCTGCATAGCTTATTCAAGAATTGAACTATAGTATATTTAACCTTAGTTCTGAAGTGTTTTGATGACTTTTTCACTTAGATACAAGCCCAGAGATCCCGATATGAATTCAGAAACTTTCCATTATAAGAGGGGGTCCAATCAGGTTTTCAGCCAGTCAACCCACATCGTCGACCCGAGCAAGTTTCCTGACTCGCAGGTTTGTCCTTACGATGCCGCTGTAATTTTTTGCTCTCACCTGGTTTATGGCTGGCTCTGTACTGGTATAACTTCGATCATCATTGTTATTGTTGTTGCTGCTCTTATAATTATTATTATTATTATTGTTGTTGTTGTTTTTATGATAATCACTATTGTTATTGTTGTTGTTCCAGTGGCAATATGACCCAGTAAAAGAAACCATACCCATTGTCATACAGTGCGATGCCGAAGACGAGGGTCAGTTGAAATTATGCTTATTTTTATTATCATTTGTAGTTACTACTACTACTACTACTACTAGCAGTAGCAGTAGTTGTAGTAGTAGTTGTAGCAGTGGTAGTTGTAGTAGTAGTAGTTGTAATAGTAGTTGTAGTAGTAGTAGTAGTTGTAATGGTAGAACTAGTAGAGTGGTAGTATTATTACACATACATTATAACTGACTTAATTATTGGTCATTCTCACATTCTACCTACTATGTTTGATCTACTGACTGACATTGATTGATTGATTGAATGATTGATTGATTGATTGATTGATTGATTGATTGATTTATTGATTGATTGATTTATTGATTGGTTGATTGACTGATTGATTGATTGATTGATTGGTTATTTCAATTAAACATTTGACCTACTTATTGCTCATTAACATATGACCCAATTAGAGCACGTTGGTCACTCGCATATATTATATGCTGTAGTGGACAAGATAGTTGATGGCAGTTACATTTTGAGGCCATTAAAACAGAAGCAGATGATGAACGGTCTTTGTTATCTTCTACAGGAAATCTATGGCATCGAAAACAAAAACACTGAATCGGCCAAGGTCATTTTTTGTAGCGCTTAATTTGTTATTTATTTGCGAAATTTCCTTGTTTTAATTTGTGTTGTTCTCATTGGTTGGTCTATCAAATTTCATTCACATTCAATTGTAGATAAGTGGACTTAAATGATTGGTTAATCAGTCTAAAAGAACCAATCAGCATTGTTGTCAATCAACCAATCACAACAAATCAACCACTTGTCATTAATCAATCAATTAATCGATAAATCAATCGATAAATCAAATCAATTAATTTGTCAAACGGTCATAGCAATCAAACAATCGCTTAACTTTTCATCATTGCCAATCAACCAATCACTCACTCATCACTCATTCGTTCAATCATTCAATCAATCAATCACGTAACTAACAGCCGGACGAAGACATAGACGATAATGGATCTGAATGCATCATATGCATGTGTGAGCCAAGAGATACGGTCATCCTACCATGCAGGCATCTATGTCTTTGTAATGTCTGTGCTGATAATCTTAGATACCAGGTCGGTTTGTTGGATGGATGAATGGTTGTTTGGTTGGTTGATTGAATGGTTGATTTGTTGTTTGGGTAACTATCATAATTTGTTTATTGATTTGTTGGCTGGCTGGTTGGTTGATTCATCGACTGACTGGTTTGTGGATTTTCTCCAACAAGTGCCAAATAATTCTTACAGGCCAACAACTGCCCCATATGTCGAGCCAAGTTTCGCGCCCTCTTACAAATAAGGGCTATTCAAAAGAAGAAGCCAGCCAGTGTAGCTGCAGCAACGGCCACTGCAGCTGCTGTTAACATCATTGGCCAATCAGGAAGAGGGGCAGGAGGTGGTAGCCGGCTGCAAGTATGTTAGCTAGGTTCATCTGATGGTTATTGGTTGACTGTAATAATTGATTGAATGATTGATTGGTTGGTTGAAAGTGTATCACAGTGTTTTCAATTACTTATTAGCGTGACGTAGGCTCGGGTGACACGTCATCGGCCCTGTCGACCAATCAGGATGGAGTACCGCCGGGCTACGAAGCCGTCTCATTGGTCGAAGCACTTAATGGCCCCACCCTTCCACATCGGGCTAGACAGGTGATGGTGATGATGATGACAATTATTATTATTATTATTATTATTATTATTATTATTATTATTATTATTATTATTATTATTATTATTGTCATTATTACTGTTGCTAGGTGACCACTAATTTGCATAAAGATCAAACCTCGCAATCTATCTACGTGAACATCGAAGGTGTGGTTGCCGGCAGCAGCAGCAGTGGGGCAGCTACTACAGCCACTGCAGCCGCCGCAGCTGCTAGTTGTGGTACTAGTAGCGGTGGTAGTGGTGTGAAAAATCAAGGTTGGTTTTGAATGTCATGACGATGAGATGATGTTAGAGGTGATGATAATAGCAGTAACGTTTATGCTGATAATTATAAACAATCACTCACTCACTCACTCATTCACTCGCTCGCTCACTCATGACAGTACCCTCCAAAACAGAGCAACAACAACTTCCGTCAAAAGCGGCCAATAAGAAAGCAGCAGCGACACTAGCGTTGAAAACGCCAGCACCAGAGTTTATGACGTCATCGACACCGTCGTCTTCTTCCTCCACGTCGAGGAACACCATCTCTCCATCGCTGTCGACTGTCGGCGAGAAGTTTGACGCAGACGACGATGACGATTTTGAAGATGGTGTTGACAGCCACATGAAGTAGATTTGTTTTTTCAGTTCCCGAATTTATTTTCATTTCAATTTTATATTCTATGTCAAGTTCATATAACTCCATATTGTCGTTTTTACTGTAGTCCATATAAAACTAATTTGATTGGTCGGTTTTTTCTTTCGATAAAAATGTTTACCACACGTGACAATTGTTCAACCAATAAGATCGAACCAGGACGACGTGACGTCATCGTCTGCTCACGTGGGCACGGGTGGTGATGGTAGTAGTTTCCAGCAGACTAGTATCAGAAGTTCAGTGGCCAATACTAGTATGGTAAGTTAGTTGGCAGTTACGGATTAGGAATTAGGATTTTTAGAGGGGGGGAGGGGGGTCCGGAATTAAAATTAGGGATGTGCTTGTATAATACTACTGTTGTTCGCTCATTTATTCATTCATTCATTCATTCGTTCATCTATTCATTTTTCCATTCATTCAATCATTCATCGTCACAGGATTCAGAAACTGCTGGAGACATCAAGTTCATTGATTGTTAGTATTAGCGTTCATTCATTCATTCATTCATTCATTCATTCATTCATTCATTCATTCATTCATTCATTCATTTATTCATTCATTCATTCATTCATTCATTTATTCATTCATTCATTCATTCATTTATTCATTCATTTATTCATTCATTCATTCATTTATTCATTCATTCATTCATTCATTTATTCATTCATTCATTCATTCATTTATTCATTCATTCTTTTGTCGTTTCTCCGTCCACCCATTCATTCTTCACTTATCCATTCTTTTTTTCATTCATCCATTCATCTGTTATTATTGGGTCATTCATGAGAAATTTCATTCTTTTTATTATTTGTCTCTATTTATTGATTCACATATCTTAATCCAATCAATCAACAATCTGTCAATCAACTAATCAATCAATCTAATCAATCAACCAACCAATCACTCAACCATTCAACCAATTAAAACAACACCAATCACTTAACATGGTACAGCCCAATCTGAGGAATGTTCATCAGCTGCAAATCAGTTGAGAACGAGTCTGGCAAGCAGTCATCCACTATCGAGTGGTAGCAACCAACATGTAGATTCGGACTTGAACACCCCCTAAATTTCATTATTGGTATCGTCCTCACTCCATCAAACAATAAGATAGCAAAAATCTTAGCTATTATATTGGTACCATAGCCGGCATTTTGCCGAACATCAACAATAAAAAACCCACATGATTTTGACTTGGACACTCCTTAGCTTTCTATTGGTATCGCACGTTTACCATTAAATGATAGTAGCAGTAACAAAAAACGTGATTTTCACTTGCACACCCCTTCACTTTTTGCATTGGTATCGTCCATTTCGTCCTTAATGTTGTTGCTAATATCTGTGAGATAGATAGAATTACTTTAATACTAATAATAATAATAATAAATAGTTATTATTATTATTTTTGTTGTTATTTTCTATTTTACTTTTTTTTCAGATGTTTCTGCCTCTTCATTATAAATAATTTCTGAATTCATGTTTATAGATCTATTGATGGATAAATCTATACGATAATCCTGCATTTGTGTGCGTGTGTGTGTGTGTGTATACTTGTGTTTGTGTGGGTGTGTGTGTGTATACTTGTGTTTGTGTGCGTTTGTGTGTGTGTGTACCTGCTTGTATATAATATAACATCCATTGTTTTTTTTAATTTGTTTTAATTAAATAGTCTTTTTATTTGTAAATAAATTAATTGTTAATCATTATCATTACCGATAATGTTGAAGTTTGAAGAAATGAAGAAGTACTATCTATCCATCTGTCTGTCTGTCTGTCTGTCTGTCTGTCTATCTGTCTTTCTATCTATCTATCTATCTATCCATCCATCTATCCATCCATCCATCCATCCATCGATCTATCTATCTATCTATCTATCTATCTATCTATCTATCTATCTATCTATCTATCTATCTATCTATCTATCTATCTATCTACCTAACTATCTATCCATCTATCTATCTATCTATCTATCTATCTATCTATCTATCTATCTATCTATCTATCTATCTATCTATCTGTCTGTCTGTCTGTCTGTCTCTCTGTCTCCATCCATTCATCCATCCATCTATCTATCTATCCCTCTATCCATCTATCTATGTGTATGCATGTAGGTTTTCAGATTTATAATTAAACAGGTCATATTAAACATAAGTTGACGTTGAATGTTACTAATATGCCTATTGATCTAAATATCACTAGTTTATATTTCTGATTCATTCTCGACTTCTGCCTCGCTCTTGTTCTTCCGGCTGTCAACTGGTTACTAACTAGACCAAATAATTAATCCTTTACTAAATCATTGTTTCCTATCTTTTCCTCTTCTGCCTAGTTTCAGCCAAGCTCTTTTTTACTATCTATTTTGAGTTGTAGTGTCTATTAATTTATATTAAATGTCAGGTATACGTATATGTGTAACTCAACCCAACTAAATATTTACATGCCGTGTGTGTTCGATGTGCGTCATATAACTGTGCGTATGTATGTGTATGTATATGTAGGTATGTTTGTATGTGTGTGTATATGTTGTAGGTATGTACCTATGCTTGAATGTGTGTTTAGGAGAGAGATAGCAGAAGAGAGAGTGCATTTGAATGTAATTTTTCCAATTCTTCTTATTTAAATGTTTTATCTATCGCTAATATACTTGTTGTAAAATAGATTATATATGCTTCTTCCTCTCTCTCTCTCTCTATATATATATATATATATTTTAATATATATATATATATATATATATATATATATATATATATAATGATGTAAATTAAGATAGATCTATTGAAAATGAATGTTTTTTTTACATGTTATCGTTAAAAGAATTTAGTTTATGTTAATGAATAATAAATGATTTATTATAATAATAATTAATAATAATAATAATTATTAATAATAATTATTATTATCATTTTTCATTACTTTCTGTGAAAATAAATTAAAAAAACTATTTTTCGAGAATTTTCATGTTATTTTTTTTCTCAAATCTGAGAAACCTTCGTCTAAAATCAAAAAATCGTCGCGATGTTTATCATATTAAAGTTGAAAAAATGTAAACAAAAGAGTTTACTATAATTAGAATGTAACGTCATCAATATGTGTTATTGTGACGTCATTCTGTAGTAATTATGTGACGCCATTTCGTTGTATTATTATGACAAAGTAATTTTATATTATATAAATTAAAATTTATAAATGTAAAAACGCTAAACGCTCCGTGAATGAATACAAGATGAAAAAGATATGAATGCCAATAGATAGATTGAAGAAATGAATAAAAGAATAAATGTGTTGTGTGTGCGTGCATTTGTGTGGTGTGGTGTGTGTGTGCGTGAATGTGTGTGTGTGTATGTGTCGATTAAAATATTGACTGAAATTGATCAAAAAATTATTACATTCACCCGCACGTACGCACGCAGTACAGACAAGTGCATGTGTACTATTTGAAAAAATGTAAAAGTACTCGTGTACCGAGAAAAATTGTATTATCAAATAGTACGCCTGTACTATGGAATGAAAAGATTAAATACATACTCACTTAACTAAGAGAAGACGTTGGTATTGGTGTCATAGTTACGTCAGATTCATGTGAAACATAATTTTTTTTTAATTATTATTATTACAAATTGACTTGTAA